AGTATTGGCACAGTGTTCAAAGCAGAGAGCAGAAGGTTTACTGGGTTTATTTTAATGAGGTTTCATATGAACTTCTGAAGAGATGTATCTCATTGAAAGCTGAATCTGCAGTCTTCTGGTTTGTCACATCCATCTTCTTCCCTCGCCAGCTGTGCTCCTAAATTATTTTGCCAATCTTCAATACTTTTGTATCCACTTTGCCCTCTGGGTAAGTGGCTTCCCAGAAGCATTCACAGAAGGCAGCTAAAGGCAGGATCTGCTCCTGCGTAACTGTTAGATGTGCAAGAAATGGGATTGCAAGAAACTGTGTTGTAATGTTTAGAAATGGAGATCATTCTGTAGTGAGCCTTTCTCCTCAGAGGAAAATCTTTTAAACATTAAAGTCAAGGCTCTGTGTAAAAAAAAAGAAAAGGAAGAGGAAGTGCCTTGTATCCCTCTTCTTTCTGCTGTCATATCTTACCAAAGACACTCGAGAGGGATTGCATTCTCCATGGACTGCTCATAGGGCAGGGGAAGTCCAGTGTTTCTGTGTGCTGAGACCACTCAGATTAGATAATGCTATGATAGGAATGAAATGCTATAGACAATGCCATGGAAAGTGAGTTCATGGACATTAGTATAATAGTATAATATTCTGGTTCTGGTTTATTCTTCCTTGTTATAAAGGAGGAGGATAAAAATTAACTTTAACTCACGTTCACATGTCAGATGTAGAAGGCAATTTAAGTTACAACTCCTTTTCCTACTTTTTTGTGCTACAGGCTTGTCTTTCCCTTGTGTTAAAGATTATCTAATTTAATAGAGAATACCAGCAAGATTCAGAAACCAAGAATGGAAGACACTGAACTAGTCCTCATTTTCCACCTCACCAGAAACACACACTGAGTTTATGTTACGTCCAGTTATAGACACTGAGAAAGCATGTGACCCCTCATCAAGAAATATAAGTTAGATTAGAAAATGATAACATTATTTTTACTAACCTCTTCCATATGACTACATGATAAACAAGGGAGATACTCTTTTTTTTTGACCTTCTCTGTTTCCACTTTCTCGAGTTATTCTCTGCAAGTTGAGTAAATTTGCATACAAATGACAGCTAAAAATCAACTGTACTTTGGTAACTTCTCTAGATAGGTTTTCATCTCATAGATGCTGTTGTTTTCATATGTTAGGATGTTCTAAATGCAGGGAAATCTTGGTGTTTATAATGCATTGCACTGGACAAGCAGTTTTTAGCAGTTTTTCAAGTGGCTAGCTGCCTAAAACATACTGAGGGAATAGAAGATACTCAGTGCAGTAAGCATATTTTAAAGCAAAATTATTCCTTTCTAGTAGCCTTTAAAGTGTTTTGCTAGTAAATGTAACTGATGCCCATACATTTCACCTGCCAGTACATATGTGGAAAGCAATGTCAGAACTAAAATATAGGAAAAGCAAAGGAGAGTGAAATCAAGTTTACATGTGCTGACTCCTTTGTCCTGAATTTCATACACCCATATTGATGTTTGATGTCATTCTGGAAGAAAACTGGCTACATATCCACCCGCTCCAGCTCTTCCAGTAAGCAAAGCCCCCCCCCCAGTGGGTAAAATTCAGTGTTCTGTGAAGTGTGTCATCAGCTATAGGGGAACAGTGACAAGCCATTGATAACTTCTGGTCTCCAGGGGCTTTATGCTCAGCTCCTGGTCCTACGTCGGTCCTACGTTACATATTCCACTTGGGAGATAACAGTGGAAAGGTGAGGATCACCAGCTCCTGAGTCACACTGCAACTTTTTTGCTGGTTCCTTGATTGCCCCATCCTTCTGGGGTGTCAGCATCAGGGCTCACACTGGGAGGCTGCGCTGCTGGTCTAACAGCAGACCTGTCCTCTAACCATCCTTATAGTTCAGCCACCGTTATTTCTCCCTGAAGAGAACCTATTGCTGTAGCCGTAGGTTTGTCACAGGCAGTGTATGTGTACTGGTCCTGGGTCAGTTGAGCTCAAGACAGATTTAGTCTGCCCTTTACCGAGTGGGTCACATCTGAATCCATCAGTCCAAAGATGACAGAACTTCAGGCACTGAGCTGTTTGGTTTGCTTTCTTTGAGATCTATGCTTTGGTTGCCAGTAACTTTAGTGGGGCTGGAATATAAATCATACTGAATGTAAAACATTTGGGCTTCAGTGTGTCGGGCAGATATCCATGAAGAGAGAAGGGTAATTAAATCCTCTTGCATTTTAAACCTTATAGAATAAGGCTCTGGCTGAGGTCTTGCACATATGGGAATTTTCTCTGGTGAAGCCTGATGAGTCGTTGTTCTGGTTGCCAGTAACATGGGTAAATAAAAGGCTTAACAATTAGGAAAGAGGGAAAACAAAGATAATACACCTGTCAAACTTTTTGTATTATTAATGCACAAGTGAAAAAAATGTTATGCTTGTGCATGCTGTTGCCCTTAATACCAGCTGTTGCCTGTGCACACGGATCGGGATTTTACATCAACTGAACAGCCTTGCTGCCAGCAAGCACTTTAACAGGCAGTGTCAATAACAGCAGTCTTCCCACACTCCGTACAATTTAAGCTATTCTTCAGATTAATAATAATACTTAATAAAGCTTCATTTCTCATTTGCAAAGAAAACCTTCAATTAATGTTAATCAGCATCCTCAGAATGTGATCAGGCGGGGCTTGTAGCTGGACGTGCCGAAACAGTTCAACTGGCAGATGGAGCATTTTCCAACTATTCTAATTAACGACTGCTCATTTCAAATGTTAATGCAATTAAATAAATAGGCAAAACAAATAAAAATAATATACAGTATGAAAATGCCACTATCAAAGAGAGTTCTAATCCAAAAAAGTGAGCCTTACTCAAACCTGAGAAGGGCCCAACCATCCCCTCCTGGCTAAATAAGGTCTAAAAAGGACAGGACCAGCTTTTGTTATGTGCTGTTTCCAACCATTTCTCTGGGATAGACAGTTATACCACTTCCATTTCAACCTGCTGGCATCAACTGAGTCATTGCTTCTTCAAGTGTTAGAGCATTTTTCTATAGAAAATGGAAAGGGATTCCTTTCGCATATTATGGGCATTTTTTGGTGTAAGATTTAGACCTCCCCTGCTTCTTGCCTCTTCTATTTGAAATAATTGCCTGGTTCTTTTTTTTTCTTCCTTAGGAGTTTCATTTTCTCTGAACCTTGTATACCATAGCACTGATGTAGGACCGCATTTGTTTGGGCTTATAAAGAGTTCAATTAGCCCCTTAATGCCTAGTTCAGTCACAATTAAACCTTCCCTGTTGACTCAGGATTGGTCTTTCTAAAGACAGTGGAGGTGTTTTTAATTATTCATTCTCTGGTTTGTTTCTTACAGCAGTCTCAGCTGTGCTTTATTATTCAAAGGTTAATGCAAACTGGGAACTAGGTAAATTAAATTTGTTTGGCAGCTAGCAACCTGATGTATTATAGACACTGTGAAATATGGATGGCAACACTTCTGCTATTGTGACACTTAAAGAGCCAGATTTTATCTTTAAAACAATTGCTAGTTTTTTTATTATGGCTGATAGAAAATGAATGTTCTATAATGTTATAGTCTCTGTAACCCATTTTTGTTGAGAAAGCAATGTAGTTTAGAAAACCAAGAAGCATTAACAGCTATTATAGGGAATTGATGTAGGTACCATGACTAATGAAGTACACTGCACAGTACTAAGTCATGCAGTTGTATGCAGGGAATTGTGCAGTCAGAAGTTTTAATGAAGGGAGCCCAAGGAATTTCAGGTGAAAGAGGGGTTTATTAACTTTCAGTGAACGAAATGAATAGTTGAGCAGTGAACATGACATGATGTCGTATAATAATTGTACGCCTTGGGTACATTGAGAGGCATGGAGCATAGCCAAGGGCTTTCATCTGTTCTACACACGGAGTTATTTCACAAACCCCTGTATGCTGTGGAAATCTTTATTGCAAACATAACAAGAATTGTTTCACAAGAAATGCCTTAAGACAATACCACATCACTTATTTGATATATCTACCTATACTGCCTTCCTCTGAACAATATTAATCAGGTACCTGGAAGTCACCACCCCAATTGATCCTAATTAAAGTTCCTCCCTGTATCAGTGACTGGTATCAGCAGGCTGTGAACCATAAAGAAGTCTTCCTATTCCTTAAGAGACCATTCTGAGTGAAATATGTATTTGTATGGACAAGCACTGTGTTGTATGAAAGGGAGGCTATGTTGACTTTTAGAAGAGTCATGCCTAAGAACTTTTATTAGTTAGTATTTTCTTTCTTTTTTTTCAGGAATTTACCATGTGGGTGAGACATTTTTCTTGTTTCATGCAGGATTGTGTTTTGTACATTTTGAATATTATTTCAGTGCTGTGTTTTTAACCAAGGACTTTGAATTAACATAATCCGAGAGTTTAACCCACTTCCTGTTTATATTATTTTAAGATAGGGTAACAATTGCAGAGCAAAGCAGCCTTCTGTGCTATTGACTGGAGACCTTAGGGTAGTGACTTAACAAGTGCAGCTACAAGGTTGTTTGTGCCCTGCTCAGTCTTTAGTACAGTCTGTGCTGTATAATGTCTGTAATTACACTGCTACTGACTGATGAGGTAGGTGGATGAGGAGGAAGGTGAAAATAGGATGGCTTGTGAAGCAAGATAGTGACAAGCAAAGTCGCTATATCCTTGCACTGTAAATAGTGTATATCTGCCCACTAAAATATTTGAGATAAGACAGTTGGGAATATTTCTGTGCTTATTTGAATAATTTATAATGTGATTTTAATACTTCTTCCTGGCTGAATATATCCCTTCTCTGGCAGAGCTTAGGACATCAGTTACATATTTTATCAGGTGCTAACTTAATAAATGTGATACACAATTTTAGCTTCTAGCGTTATTGCAAAACCAGTGGTATTACCGGTAGAGTATAACTGATGCAGTATATTCTTGATTGTATGTAGTTAGTATGTTATATTTTTGTTTTCTATTTTAGTGCTGGACCCAAAGGAGACAACATTTATGAATGGAGGTCAACTATACTGGGACCTCCAGGATCTGTATATGAAGGTGGAGTTTTCTTCCTTGACATTACCTTTTCACCGGACTATCCTTTTAAACCACCTAAGGTTAGTAGAAGGATACTGAAAGTCTGATAGGAGTCCTCTCCTTCTGATATTTTTAATGTCTATGTTGGTATATCATTTTAGGATGAAAGATAAAATTTTCAAAGCAATAATGAATATTTAAACTTGGTATTTTGATGGAAAGAATTTTAAATAACTGCCTAAAATTTGCTAGCATGTTGCCAGTATAGCTGAATGGATATAGATTTATTTAGAAAATGGTTGCATAATTTCCAGCAGTTATTTCTAATGTGAAAGCATTTATATTTGAGTTGCATCCTTTATAAGCAGCTGAAGGTACTTAATCTTTCCTATTGACCCATATAATTCACCAGGACTCTATGGCTGTCTTGACAAAAATATGTACCTTTTGCACTACCTCATATAAATTACTTCTGCAGATGCAGGATACATGATTGTTATGAAGTTATAAAGAATTGCTTTATATCAGTTTTCTGGAAGAATATGGCACCAAAGTCAAGAAACTGGAGTGGTAGACAGAGATTTACAGAATTCCTTACAGATTTATTTTACAATGCTGTCAATAATGACACAACCAGAAGTGTAGAACTGTATCAATAGCATGAAGGTGACATTACCACGATCAAGGGGACTTGGAATGTCAAAGAGGAAAAATGTAGTGGTTAGGAAGACTGGAAAAATAGAAATGGGTTGGAATGTGGCAGTACAGTGTCATCTATAAGCAATAGTAATAATTGCTGAGGAGGGTGTCAAAATGGGGCTTCATTGGGTGATCACAGGATTATTAAAACTACCTGCATAATGCATCTATAAAAAAGGCAAATATACGCTTAAGATGCATCCTCTGGCCTGCAGAGATAAGGAATTACCAATGTCATATACAAGACACTTATAAGACCTCATTTGCAAGACTGAATGCAAATCATAACGCACATGTTCACTAACAGGAACAGAAACTGTGCAAACTTACCCCACAGGGCTGGTAATAGAATCAAATAAACTGATAGGCCTTCCTTTCATGAAAGAAAGTGAATAGGGGTGAATTGTTCACCTTACCCCTGTGGAGAATAAGTGTCTGGAAGAACTCCACAGAAGGAGCTATAAGATCAAAAATATTTACCTTCTTTTTGACATATTTATCAGAGGATCAACTGGACCATAATAGAAGGCATTAAAAGAGAGAGTAGCTGATTTCCTTTTTGATTACCATGAGTAGACTATTGAAAGATAAGTGCTTATAAGTAGAATTTTAATGCCACAGTAGTAACGTTTATAGCAGTTAACACTGATACTATCAGGAAAAGTTTTTTTTTTTTAAAAAAAAAAAAAAAAAAAAAAAAAAAAAAAAAAAAAAAAAAAAAAAAAAAAAAAAAAAAAAAAAAAAAAAAAAAAAAAAAAAAAAAAAAAAAAAAAAAAAAAAAAAAAAAAAAAAAAAAAACAAGAGACCTGTGAATTCAAAGCACTAGTCACTTTGTAAATTGGACTTTCCCAGCTAGTGACCTAAAGATGGGTCAGTGTGGCAGGATGAGGGATGGTCTAACTTTGTTTCCCGCTTCTAGTGTCCCAGTATAGGGAAGCTTTGAGGTCCCTGAGAGGTCTTACAGGGGTTGTACACTTTGCTGACTGCACATTTTCTGATTTAGGCAACTGTTGTTACGTAGTGAAGTAAGAATTGGAAACTTTATAACTTCTACTTCAGTTAGTTAAAGCTTTGGGCACACTGAGCTGGGGTGATGTCCTGTTATTCCTGCCTCCCACCCAGCTCAGCCCACTTTCTGTACCAGATCTGTCTTAACAGGTGCCATTTGTTTGCTTCTTTCCTGGGCTTAGTCTGTTTGTAGTAGCTGTAATGCAAGGGTTACATTCAGGCCCCCAGCAAATTAAAACTGTATTATTTAGAGGATAAAATGGCTGTATTGTCTGTAAAATAGAGCTTGAAGTTCTCTCAGAGATCCAGACCTAATACGTAAAGAATTAGTTCCGAAAGACAAGTTGCAGGGATGTCTTTTGTCATTCTCTCTGTTGAATCTGTTGAGTCTTGAGGCGGGACATGCAATAGACATCCTTTTAAAATAGAAGTTGGAGGTCCAATTTGCTATTTCACCACAAGGTAAAGTCTTTTTCAATCTATACTTAGTTGTATTTGGCACTGTGTTGTTTTGAGACGTGAGGAATGCAGCTGTGCGTTGCTTATTAATGAAATGTCAAGCAAAGAGGTGGTTCTTGTCCTGCTTTGTAACAGATTTTTTGTCTGCCTTTATCTTGATGCCAATTGTCATTATAAGAAATGTGTGCATATAAATCATATGAAAATGTACTGCTTGATAAAGGATGAGAGAATTGACAATGGCATATTGTGTGACTAAAAGGCCACTATTTATGATGAGGGAAACTGTTATCTGTAAGAAAGTAATGAGTGTGTGTGCACAGGGGACTAATGTCAGCTATAACTGTGTTGCAAGCATATGTTGTACACATGGATTCTTATTCTAAGCACTTCAGCTATGGTTGTAAATGACCCCTATTTTCAGACCTGCTGTAGGATCTCTCAAACTGTTGCTATTTCATTACATCTATTTTCCAGACCCTATAAAACTCGTTCATAAGTAAAATAGTTTAGAAATCCCTTGAATAAAGCAGCATGGGAAGATGACTGCTTATCATAAGGTAGCTATTGACAGCCAGTATTGTCGGGAAGAGGTGGTTAAATGTGTTCTCCACAAACTTATTTCTAGCAAAAGAAAGGTAGGGAGGACGTGGAACATAGCATATGGCCTCACGGTACGGTGCTATCTTTGTCACTGGGTGTTGACATCTCTACTTCACCATGAGATTTGTGTTATTTGGTGCTGTTCTCAAAATCAGGGGTTCTAGGGTTATAGGAATAAATCGTCTTAGATTTTTTTCTAATTATAGTCCCACTCCTTATGGCTCTATCATCTTAAAAAAATTTAGAGATAAAGTACAAGAGTGTGAAGTGTGCTGAGAAAGACATAAAATGTATTCCTGAATGTTGGCAAGATTACCTTCGTGTAAGAACATAGCAGAAAGGGTCTAATTCACATTTCTCACTGTGATTGAATTCATACATTACTCCTGAGATTTCTGTGGACCATTTTCATCCCTCTTTCACTATGAAGTAACGAAATATTTAAATTAGTACTGTCAAAATTGATCTTCCAAAAATGTGACCACAGAAGACCCGAGAAGAAACAGAAACTGTATTTGCCAGATTCAGTTACTTGTCATGGCCTGAGGTTCCAATAGCAAATGCCCATGTCACATAACATAGTTACTGTGAAAGGGCCTAATCTACACTGTATTAAAATCTACAGAAAGATTTCCATGGTCCCTTTTCCTTTTCTATTCTCAGATGTTGTGCACTCTGTTATCATGCTTGTGTAAGTTGCACATGGACTTTGAGGAGTGGAAAAGAATTTTTAAAATGAGAAAATATATTAAAAATGGATTTTGGATAAATATGTATTATTTTATTTTTATTATAATTAAATATATTTGTGGTGTAACTGTTGTTTGATTTGTATTATACAAAGTTATCAATATTTTCTAAAGGATCCAGATTACTTCTGTAAACACTGTTAATGCCTATTCTGATTACTGGGCACCCTGTTACATATTGAAAAACATCAAATAAAATAAAATTAAACAACTGAGAGCACATTTGCACATGAAGAAAAGATTCAACCTATATTTTGGGTTTTCTTTTGAAGAAATTTATCACATAATTTTCATTTGTTCTTCCAGATAATTAACTTGCTTTTCTGCTTTATCTTGTAAAAGAAAATAAATGACTCATTCATTCAGGTTTTGTTTAACAAAGAAAATACATCTATCCAAACTTTTGCTGTTGGATATTTCTTCTTTTTTTATACGTTTTTAGCCTTCAACATCACGTCCTTCTAAGATTTTAAAGTTTTATATTTATTCTTTGCATCCTCTAATTATATTGTGTAGTCCAGTTCACATTCTGAGTTTTGTATAGCCACAAATCATTGCCATCAGATTTCTCTTCCAGTCTGCATGAAGTCTTTTCCCTGTGGATCACAGTTTTCTTTTTGTCTGTCGCTACCGGTCAATGTCTTTCTAAAGTTAAACCATAGGCATAGTATCAAATTAAGTTACTCTTCACCATCACAGAGCATACCGTGTGTTAAGTCAGAGCATAATTTGCTCTCATGCTACTAATTTTTTCCCCTTTGAAGTCAGTCTTTTTCAGTATTTCACCTTTGTCTCATGCCTTGAAACTGGATCCAGATTATTTGACCCAGAGGTCACTGACCCTTTCAGCTCTGCTTTCCTTATAAATCAATGGATTTTGGCCTCACTCACAACTGCAGCACACTCATGCAGAGGAGGGAGTTGTCCTTTCCCCAGAAAGTTTATCTATATGTGACCAATGCAGCTTGAGTAGGAGCAATGGAGGGCCAGCCCAGGTTAACTCCGGGTTAGATCTACAACCAGGAAACATGATTTTTAGAACAGCTCATCCGAGAACTGACAAATTAGCTTTGGTTTTCTGGGATGCTCTAATCAATTAAAAGTATTCCCTCGCCTCCACTGTGAGGAAGCTGCTGTAGCACTGCGGAAATTAGCCGAGCACCTCGTTGGCTGAGTCAGCAAGAAAGCAGCAGCCTGCACAATCACCATTCAGCTGCATCCTCAGTACCACGTTGGTTTTATGAGATGCTGGACGGGAGGAAGGTATGGAATGGGCAAAGCAAGGCATAGCTGTGGACTTGATCTCACTTTCTGCTAAAGGCCAGATCCTGCTGAGGCTTCAGTCTCAGTCACAAAGTGAGGTTTCGCTTCAGCCCCAAAATACAGCATCTCCCTTGTAGTGCTGCGGGCTGAAAAACAGAGAAAGCTGGGCCCCTTTCAGGGCAGTCCCTTAAAGAAATTAACAAAAATACTTAGGTGACCTGCCAAGGAGATAACCTTACATTTTTTCAGTGCCTTAATGACCCCTCAACCTGCTTTTTTAGAAATACCTTTGAGATTTC